CACCAGGATATATAAACCAGTACACGCACACACACACACACACACACACACACGCATTTTCTATAAAATACAGAAAATTAAGTCCTCATTTTCATTATAGGTACTTTACATTCAAATAATTTTATACTTGTTTACAAATATACAAATAATATAACTATTTTTTGTTTATTAGTAGCCTAATTGTTCCATTTTTTTTGTTTATTAGTAGCCTAATTGTTCAATTTTTTTTGTTTATTAGTAGCCTAATTGCTTACTAGGAAAATGTTTTACAGTCTATGAGTGATTAAATCTACCACGCAAGAACGACAAATTAAAACTACATCTTTATGCATATATTCACCCGAGTCATGCACATTAGTACTTGAACTGGTAAAAAAAATGTTTAGTATTATCATTTTTCAAACATGATCTGGTTAATCTTTACACTGCTTTACCGCACCGCTTTGGATCGGACGACTACTACGTCACTCCAGGCATGACGTCGGCGGATGCAGTTCTTCCACCAGCCAATCACAGCACTCGGGAGGCGGGCGCTCGCCATTCGCGCTCTTGGAAGTTCAGCGGGTCTCACGTGAGACGTAAACAAACCTTCACGTGCATTTGAAAGTGCTTATATTTGATGTAGTGAACGAGTGCCAGTTCATGTGAATGTGTTTGTGTTTACTTATCATTTAGTGAATGAGTGAGAGCTGATCATGGCTGGAGTCATCCGCAAACTCGATGAGACTGTAGTGAACCGCATCGCAGCAGGAGAGATTATCCAGCGGCCTGCCAATGCTATCAAAGAGATGATGGAGAACTGGTGAAGGGCTTTTATTGAGCACTATAATAACTTCTGTCTGATGAGATTTTATTAATTTATACCTAATAACTGGTGTCGCAGAGGTTCATCACCAGTAAACAAATACGTACTGACTAAAAACTAATATAGTCACTAATACATGATGACGTTTATTGATTATTTATGACTGGTGTTACTTTATGGTACATAATTATCTGGCACGACTTTTCATATCACTAATAAACACATGTTTATTGTAAAATCTCTTCAGCTTCAACTAAAACTTTTAAAATCGTTTTCGTTAAATTAAATACAGCTGAAATAAAATATACTGTAAAAAAAAAACTTAAAACTGATATTAGAAAAGTTTTACCTTGGTATCTACTTAAAGCAACAACTATATATGTAGTATTAATGACAGCACATAACAAAATGACTACATTAAAATGAAAAGCAATTGGAAATATAAACCTAAAAGCAAATTCATTATTATTCTGTTATTATAATATTATTGTAATAATAAATACTTAATATTTATTAAGTACATAATAAATAAATACTATATAATAATAAAAAATAATAAATACTACAATAGTATATAAATAGTTCTAAAATAATATTAAAATTATACTAAAACGGCACAATGCTGTGATATGTGATAAACGTTGGCACCAGATGTTCATTGTTAAAAGCAAATTTGTACATGTATATAAGGAACACATATGGCACCTGTTATGGGAAATGACCCTAATATGTCAACAGCTGCATTTGACACAATATGAGACACTAATATTTGTTTTAAATCCTCAGTTTGGATGCAAAGGCCACAAATATCCAGATAACAGTGAAAGAGGGCGGACTGAAGCTCATCCTCATTCAGGACAACGGCACTGGCATCAGGGTAAATCACTTATTTTTACACTGCAGTGCACACACCGGCAGACATTGCTAAATGACAAATTTCTTATTCGGAGCGTGTTGCATTTAAATTTTTTTGCAGAAAGATGATATGGAAATAGTCTGTGAGCGTTTTACAACCAGCAAGCTTCAGTCTTTTGAGGACTTGTCATCAATCGCAACATATGGATTCAGAGGGGAGGTATGAATCACTTCAGCTGATCGCAGTGCGTTTACTGATTAACCTTGACTCTAAATCTCTTCTTTATTGATAGGCTCTCGCCAGTGTAAGTCATGTAGCCCATGTAACAATTACCACTAAAACAGCCGATGCAAAATGTGCCTACAGGTAATGTTTTTATTTTATATAATATAAAATATTTGAGATATTGTTATACAGTTATATCATTTTGTATATATTTTAGCATACATGCAGAATGTTAATATACCACAGCACAATAAGTATATTATTTTATTTATTATGCCTTTTTTTTTATTTTTATAAAGAGGTCTGACTTTGGTTTTGTTCACAGGGCCAGTTACTGTGATGGGAAGCTGAAAGCTCCATCTAAACCCTGCGCTGGAAACCAAGGGACATTGATTTCTGTAGGTTTACCTGACATTAAGTCGTTTTTTTACATTTTAAAAAAAAATATTTATTTATGGCGTTTTTGCCTTTATTTAGATAGGACAGTGTAATGATAGAAAGTGAAGTGGGAGAGAGAGGAGGGGGTGGGGGTGGAATCAGGAAAGGTCCAGGATTTAAACTCGCCACCAACACAACTCCATGATCAATCGATTTTTATTCCAGGTAGAAGATCTGTTCTATAATGTGTCTACCCGACGGAAAGCCCTGAAGAGCCCCAGTGAGGAATATTCTAGAATCATTGAGGTTGTGAGCAGGTGTGTTCATGAGATCCAGAAGGTGTTTGTTCTGCTTTAAGATCCGGAATGATCATTCATGTCAACCTGTATGTATTTCTTGTCATACAGATACGCCATTCACAACTCTGGGAAAAGTTTTTCTGTCAAGAAGGTGAAATGCTCATTTCATAGCAGTGTTGTTATTATTGTTTAACTACAATTAAAAACATTTTTGCTCATTTAAATAAACAGAAACTGAAATAAAATGAATTATAAACAAACGTAAACTAGTATTATTTCAGTTAGTGGTCTAATTTTCATTTCATTTAAGGTAAAGCACTAAAAGTATTCAAACTAAAACTGAAATAATTAATAAAATAAATAAAAATGTCAAAATCAACTAAATTTCTTAAAATGTAGCTAAAATTAAAAGGAAAACATAAAATATATTTTGAAAAAAAATGCTTAAATAGTATATTAATGATACTAAAATAACATTGTTAAAGAGTAAATTGAATTTAAATATGTATAATAACATTTCCCCCCTCTGTTTTAGCAAGGTGAGATGGTTGCAGATGTGAAGACCCTTCAGAACGCCTCTGTGCTGGACAACATTCGTGCGGTGTTCGGTGTAGCTGTTAGCAGGTACTTTTATTTGATCATTTTTAGGTACTGTGAACATTTTCTAACCTCATTTTAACAGAAGGATACATTGATTTGAGGTTCAATGATGGAGTAAAGCAAACATTTCTATGTGTGTTTCAGGGAGCTGATTGAAGTTGAGTGTGAAGATCAGAAACTCGCTTTTAAAATGAAGGGCTACATCTCCAATGCCAACTACTCTGTCAAGAAATGCATCCTTATCCTTTTTATCAACCGTATGTGTTACAAGTTTGTTTCTATCTTAGTTTTTAAAAGCATTGGAAAAAATCCTAGCTGTCTTTATGATGAATAATCACTGTTCTGATTAATATCATTTGAACACAAGACTTTCATAATTCTGACTTTGTCATCTAGATCGCTTGGTGGAGTCTAGTGCCCTGAAAAAAGCAATTGAGACTGTCTACACTGCTTATCTACCCAAAAACACTCATCCTTTTCTTTATCTTAGGTAAGTCACTTTGTAGTATGGAAGTATACACTATCGTTCAAAAGTTTGAGGTCAGTAAATTGGTTATTTTAAATTAAATTACAATTAAATTGATCAAAAGTGACAGTAAAGACATTTCTAATAATGTTACAAAAGATTTCTGTGTCAAATAAATGCAGAGAATTCTAAAACAAATGTATCACAGGTTCCACAAAAATATTAAGCAGCACAACTGTTTTCAAAATTGATAATAATAAGAAATGTTTTTCACCAAATCAGCATAGAATGATTTCTGAAGGATCATGTGACACTGAAGACTGGAGTAATGATGCTGACAATTCAGCTTTACATCACAGGAATAAATTAAATTTTAAAGCATATTCAAATAGAAAGGAATTCTTTTAAATTGTAATATTATTAGCAGCCTTGGTGAGCACTTCTTCTTAAAAAACGCACAGACCTCAAATTTTGAAACGCTAGTGAAGTCTGCTTTCTTCATTCATGTGAAGCAAATCTAGAAATGTTTTACTAATACTTTACAATTGCTTTCGCTCTGAAGTTTAGAGATTGCTCCTCAAAACATTGACGTGAACGTTCACCCCACCAAGCACGAGGTGCACTTCCTGCATGAGGACAGCATCATCGAGAGCGTTCAGAAACACATCGAGAGTAAACTGCTCGGCTCGAACTCTTCACGCACATACTTCACACAGGTGATCCTTCAATTCCAGCAGGAAATATTGAACATCTTCTAATCTGACCAACACTTGACTGATGTGCATGATCCATAGACTTTGCTTCCAGGACTTTCGGCGTCCACCAACGCGTCAAAAGCCTCTAGTTCCTCAGCAGATTCCCAGGAGCGAGTATACGCCCATCAGATGGTCCGCACTGACAGCAAAGTCCAGAAGCTGGATGCGTTTCTCCAGCCATCAACCTCATCGTCTGCTGCTCAGAGCAGGTCAGATAAAGCCTCCAGCTCTTCCACTGCTGCTCAGGGTTCAGCCGAACCAGACCACTTGGAGCTGCTGACTGCTCTGGATGTTCTGGAGCCGTGTGACGCAGAGGATCCACAGACAGACAGTCAGCCTCCTCCTGATGAAGCACCACCAAGGTGAAACGCACAAAACAGGCTGTTGATGAGATTTGTGTGGGACTTCAGTTACATAAGAGGAGCCTGGGGCAAGTTGTTGCACTTGTTACTTATTTCTTAGGCTTCCAGTTTCGATGTAGATATATAACTTAAAGTGTTCACTACACACAAAAAAAGAATAATGTTTAACACATAGCAGAGCATATGGAGTAAGTTTTCACAATGCAAACGTCGCTAACCTCTCTACTCACATTGCTTTCTAAGCAGAAGATCAACCTGTTGTTTGATTGGTCTTCAGGAAAAGACCTCATGTTGAGGAGGTGAAGGAGGATTTGACGGCCGCCTCTCTTCCCAGGAGACGCTTCATTAAACTGACCAGCATAAAGGAGCTCCGGGAAGATATTGAGCAGCATACTCACAAAGGTTAAACAATATCCACTTAATATCCACAGACTGAAATTCTAGCCTTTTTTTTAGTCTTTAGTGTCACATGATCCTTCAGAAATCATTCTGTTATGCTGATTTGCTGTTCAAGAAACATTAAAGGTGGGGTAAGTGATTTCTGGTAGCCAATGTTGACATTTGAAATCACCAAAACAAACACGCCCCTACCCCAAAAGGGTCTCACCCCTATTTTGATAGCTCCGCCCCAATCTATGGTCTACACTGGATGCGGTGCGGCACGACACGACAAATCCCCAACAAAAAACTGCTACTGCATTCTATTCATGACGTTCCGATATGTCTTGCCGATAAGAGGAATATGTTAACTCACATGTGCTCAGGGTGTGCTAGCGATTAGATCACCTCAACAGTGTGGCTCATTCTTGAAGCAAAGTTTTGTCTGAATGATGATTAGATTCACTCTTTTGGATCGCTGCATTTAATCTGTGAAAGCATGTACAGAATGAGCATTCAGTGTATGATAGAGTAAACAGTAATAGCACGTGCAGCAGCGGCAGCAGTGACAGCCTCCCCCAGGTCCTAATGGCCGTTTGGTAAGGAGTTTTAATCTGTAGGGGGCGCTGTTGGCCTACTTCTAATTAAATTAATAGTAAAATACCCTACACAAATAACATTTAGACTGTGTTTCTGATTAAATAAAGCAGTAATTGATGTCATAAAATAATGAGTATGTTTTGATTTAAAGGTCATAAGCTATAGCTTACATGAAAAAAATCACTTGTAAATTAAATAATTTTATATATACTGATTTATTCATTAATGTGTAATATGTTTTATTTTTTAAACAAATCATAAGCTCTAAAAGATTTTCAGAATTTTTACAACTCTTCTGCTTTAGACCATCTACAAATGTTAAATCTTAAAATGTTAGGGTTAACACTGCATCTTTCTGGGGAAAAAAATACAGCGATTGATATATAGTTTAGTTATAGTTATTTTCAAAGCTTCAATGTACTGTCAAAAAACCGTCATTATTGTTTATTTAATTCTAACAAATAAGTTCTTGTTAAAAACGAACCAAAATAAAATAAAAAATAAAACCTTTTAAAAAAATAAAATAAAAATATTTTGCTTATAATTTATGCACAGGAGAGACTTGGTGTTGTTTCCAAACAAAAGGAAATATATCGGTATCGACCAAGATGAGTTGAAAAATATCGGCATATCGGATATCGGCAAAAATCCAGTATCGTGCATCCCTAATTATTATCAGTGTTGAGAACAAGTTGTGCTGCTCAATATTTTTGTGAAAAATGCTTTGATGAATAGAATGTTCAAAAGAACAGAATCTATTTGGAATAGTAGTTGTTTGTAACATAAATGTCTTTACTGTCACTTTTGATCAATATAATGCATCATTACTGACTGAATTTCTTAATGGTAGTGTATATACCGGTAATGTAATGAATTTAGTGTTTTGTCCTCCACAGGTTTACAGGATCTGCTCCAGAATCACTCATTCGTAGGTTCAGTCAATCCTCAGTGGACTCTAGTGCAGCACCAGACCAAACTCTACCTGCTCAATACAACCAAACTCAGGTTAGAACCACAGCAATTGCTGACATCACTCCATTCTCGACCGTACTTTCTATTCCAGCATTTTCTACTGATTTTTATTATATATGTGTCAACAAACATACTTTTGTCTCCTGTTTTCTACAGCCAGGAGCTGTTTTATCAAATTTTGATCTACGATTTTGGTAACTTCGGGGTTCTTCGATTGTCGGTGTGTTGTTGCATTCAAGTTTTTTTTACATTTTTTAAAATAAACTATAACTAATATGTGACCCTGGAGCACAAAACCAGTCTTAAGTCGCTGGGGTATATTTGTAGCAATAGCCAAAAATACATTGTATGGGTCAAAATTATGGATTTTTCTTTTATGCCAAAAATCATTAGGACATTAAGTAAAGATCATGTTCCATGAAGATATTTTGTAAATTTCCTACCGTAAATATATCAAAACTTAATTTTTGATTAGTAATATGCATTGCTAAGAACTTCATTTGGACAACTTTAAAGGCGATTTTCTCAATATTTAGATTTTTTTGCACCCTCAGATTCCAGATTTTCAAATAGTTGTATCTCGACCAAATATGATCCTATCCTAACAAACCATACATCAATGGAAAGCTTATTTATTCAGCTTTGAGGTATAGATTTCAATTTCAAAAAATGTACCCTTATGACTGGTTTTGCGGTCCAGGGTCACATATTTTATTTAACTATATTTTACATCAGATACATTTAACCGATTAAAAACTAAAGTTGCGTTTCTTCAGAATCCAGCTCCGCTCTATGATTTGGCCATGTTGGCTCTGGATTCGGAGGAGAGTGGATGGACGGACGAGGACGGTCCAAAAGAAGGACTGGCCCAGTATATCGTGGATTTTCTGAAGCAGAAAGCAGTAATGCTGGAAGAGTACTTTTCTCTGGAAATAGATGAAGTGAGTGACACATACTAAACTTACATCAGTATAACTGATTTACAATAAGCTCAAAATGCTTTTTATTTGACCTCAGGTTGTTCCGAGATACAAATGCTAAAAACCTCTTTATATAACCATGGTTAAAAAAAATCATTTGGACTATTGCTTTTACAAAACAAGCATTTCCTTACAGGAAGGGAACCTGACTGGTCTGCCAATGCTGCTTGATAATTACACTCCTGCTATGGAGGGACTTCCCATGTTCATTCTGCGTTTAGCCACAGAGGTCAGCATTTCACTGAATTGTAGTTTATTGGCTTTTGTATTTACTGGGCATTAGTTAAAACATAAAATCCAGATGCAACTAAATGACTGATGGATGATGCAGGTGAACTGGGATCGAGAGAAGGAGTGTTTTCATGACTTCGGCATAGAATGCAGTCACTTCTATTCCATAAGGAAACAATACACACTGGAGCCGGATGCAGAAGAGCCACAGGTAGTTCAAATGCTACACACAAAAATCAGACAATTTTGGGTAGCAAATATATATTGCACAGACTGCAGAAAAAATATAACGGTATACTTCTCTGAACATGATGCATTCAGCTGTTTTGTGGTTTATGTCAACGATCTTTGATTAGTAGGAAAATCAAATGAAACCCAAGAGTTTTTAATGTGTGAATTATTTGTAGGATGCAGAGATGAGCTGGCAGTGGAAGGTGGAGCATGTGCTTTTTAAAGCACTCCGCACTCTCTTCAGTCCTCCAAAACACTTCAGTGAAGACGGCAGCGTTCTGCAGATAGCCAGCCTGCCTGAACTCTACAAAGTGTTTGAAAGATGCTAAGTTTTAGTAGTTGTGTAATAGTTTTAATGTTGTGTTATCAAAAACGGCAGCTTTTCTACGTGTTTTCTTGGTTAGCTGACCAACTGAAAATGACTGACAGAGATAATCAGCCTGTCACATTATTTCTGGTGTCCAGCTAACATTAAACCAAGATATTTGTACTGCAAATTAATAAAAAAAAGACTGTATTTTGAAATAATAAACATAACAGTTTTCATTACTGTCTTCTGATGGAACTGACTTTAATACCATAATGCACTTACACATATGCATCTGGCAGATGCTAACTGGATAAATCCAAAAGCGTGATTTAGATGCCAAATAAAACACATCAAGTACATCACGCCAAAATAACGTTTTAAAGTGAAGTGTGTCATTTTGCACCAACGGCACCAAAAAAAAAAATTTGTTCTGCAGTGAATGGGTGCTGTTAGAATAAGAGTTAGAAAATTTGATGAAAACATCACAAGTAATTCATACAACTCTAGTCCATCAATCGATGTTGGAAATGCGGTGTGAATCCTGTGTGAATAAGTGATGTAATGCTACATTTCTCCAAATCTGATCAAATGAGACAAACTCATCTACATCTTGAATGGCCTGAGGAAATTTTCATTTTTAGGTGAGCTATTCCTTTCCATGTTAAACATGCAATATCATAATGTCATGTGTAAATGCAACAATACTGTTTTATCATTGCATGATGTTCTTTTATTTCAATTAATTGTAGTATGCACTAAAGGCTGTTTTTACATGCATGTGGCCATTGGTTTAGCCAGTGCTGTTATGTTGGGCTGTATCACACAGATTGCAATTCTGGGTAACACTTTTTATTTGATAGTTCACTTTGCAACTACATGTCAACTATTGTCGACTTATTCTACTAACCCTAAACCTAACCTACTCTCAGTCTACTCAGAGTTAGTAGACGTGTAGTTGCAAGTTAATGAGAATTAGTTGACATGTAGTGGCAAAGTTACTTACAGTTAGCAGAATGTCTAAAGTGGACTATCAAAAAAAAGTGTAACTAAATTCTGTGGTGTAGAAATTACACTTCACCTAAACAAAAAAAGTCCAAAAATATTTACTGAGAGAGGTCAGTTTGTAAATCGTGTAGTTTATTTACAGTATACTTTGCAGCTGCTTTAGTCAAAATCACTGTGTGCATGAAGTGTCAAGACAATTGGTTTCTAGTGTGATTAACATGTCGCACCAAACCTGAATACAACAGCGCTGTGAAAGGCATCAAGTGGCATTTGGGACTTGAAATCTCAAAATATCACAGTAGAAACATCTCGGTCTCTTACTGCGAGTTAAAATCATTACATTTAGTGTAAAATTGATGTAGTCCATTGTGACGAAGCACTTCAAAAAAACAAACAAAAAAAAATACTAACAAAATTCAATGTGCCCCGCAAACAATCACAATTCATGAATCACCCGCCCATTCATACTGCATTCATTTACACATTTATTTTCAAGAAATATTTTAAATATTGGAAAAACAAAACAAAAACACTTAAATTGAAACCATAGCAGACATGATTGATTCTCTATACTGTTCAACTCATGGCCGTACCCTTTATTAAACACATTAATGTTTTTTGTACCGGTAGAAATATATGCTTTTCCTGTATAGTGTTATAATGCATATAACCCTCGTCCTCCCTGTGAAGGCACATTGCTGTGTAAGCATTTACACGGACGTCGAGGGCCCTGCAGTCATGTCGATTTACAGTTTAAAAAGCGCTTTTATACTCGTGCAACTTACAAAAGAGGAGGGGGAAAAAGCACCCAGTCAAGCTTTTAAAAACAACAAAACCAACAGAAGTACAATATTCTCGGGTTCAGAGAAGGTTCAGAGGCTTCCTCCCTCACAGTGTTGCCCTAGTAGGGTGTAAATCTGTATTTTACCACGAGAGGCAAGGAAACAAGGTAAAGGGCCAGCGGATTTGTTTTGGTGTCGGAGAGTCTCTCTTCACTGCTGGGACAGGAGAGCGTTTCTGTTTGCTTTCATCTTCTCCAGCCGCTTTATGAGATGGTTATTGGTCATTTCCATTTCTTCGATCTTGTCCAGGGCTGTACGCAGCTGCGAAAGGAAAACAGATGTGTGAGGAGGATTCTTGACTGTGACTGCTAATACGAAAAGGGTCTGATCTTCTCTACGCTTCGATCATGTACTATTTTCTCAAATTAACAGATATTTTCAGTTTCCATGACTTTTCCTAGGCCCAGAAATCAGAGATTTAAAATGTCAGGTTATGATTATGGGGACAATGAATGTGTGAAATGCTTGTAGGTCAGTATCATAGATGTTTGAATGGCAGATTTTCTCAAGTGTTGGGTTCATACCTCCCTCTGAAGTTTTCTTTTCTCTGCTTTCAGTTCATCTTCTATCTTTTCTGCATTATCTGCTGCAGATTTATATCTGGACACCTGTCCTTCAAGTCTGTTTACCTGCAAGACACATACACAAAAAAAAAACAGTTATGCAAATAGTCAAGTATTTTTAGCATTAACCATGATTTATAAAATAAATATAATATAATATAAATATAATATAAATAAAAATTTAAATATTTTTTACTATCACAATAATTGTAATTATTAGCAATTAATATTTTAAATGTATAAATATAAATTTGTTCCCAGTAATAAAAAAATGGAAATTGCACAAAAAAACTAATGTACAAAACACACAAAAATGCATTAAACTGATCAAAAGTGACATTATGTTGATGCAAAAAATGACATTTCAAATAAACCTTTTTTAAAACTTTCTATTTATCAACCAATCCTTAAAACAATGCATCACAGTTTCCATTTGAATAGAAAAATATAAATATTTTATTTTCAATTGTGTTTTACTGTATTTTTGATCAAATAAATGCAGCCTCAGTGATCAAACAGACTTTTCTTTTTAAACTAAAAAAGTTAAAAAACATGGACATGAAAAAGTAAGTAATTGTTTTGAAACCGTCACAAACCTTAAATGATCTTATTTGTCCTAAATAGGCTTCATTTTCTGTGCCAATATATAAATAAATAATACTTCTGTTACATTTCATACTACTTTTGTATACTATTGTTATATAGGTTATACTTACTATTGTAATAACTTTATTTAGTTCTAATTATAAACTCACATTTTGTTCCATCGTAGCCATTTCCTGTTCAGCCTTTGAGAGCTTGAATTTGTATTCACTTATCTGTCTGTTGACGTCCCCTACAGAAAACAGACAGTATTAAAGCATGGTACATGTAAAGGATGTTAATGCAAACATGAGTGTGTGCACAGCATGTGTCACAGGTCGTACTCTGCATCTCGATGAAATGCAGGTCAGTGCCGTTCTCCATTCGCTCTCCTTCTGTGTAAACACTGTCGATCTTTGAGTGCTTTTGTCTTTCTTCCTCCAGCTGCATCTTCAGTTTTCTGATCTAAAAGAGCGTAGATGTGTTACTTCAATTCAACAATGCCAATAATACATTTTAATTCACTTCATGTACAATCATACCTGGGACAAAAGTTCATCCTTTTCATCTGCAAGCTTTCGTAGTCTTACATCTGGGGTATGAACACAGAAGACAAGTATTATGCCATAGTTTCATACTAATATATATAAGCTTGACAGTGTATGTGGAGACTCACCCAAAGGTCCGTCTCCCGCTGACTCCAGCACCTGCGCTGCCTCTTGTGTGACCACAGTGATGCCTGAGGTAGGGGACTCGTGGCTGACGTCTCCGTTGGGCGTATCCTCTGGTATGATGACCAGCCCATGTTTCTGTCAGGGAAGGAAGGTCACAATATATTAAAATATAAAAGTTTTTTTTTAAATGGACACTGGCCACATACACACTGCAGTGCAGTTGTCACTTCTCTTATGGACACACAATGTTTGAGTGACAAACTCATGAAAAAAAATTCAGGAAACACTAACACAGTTGAGCTTCCTTCTAAGATGCCTTCTTGAGGACAGAATCTAAAACAGAACTGCATGTCTCCTTTATAGAGAAGGCCACCCCATAATGTACTGTGACAGGCTCAATGAGGGAAAAAAAAAAGATCCAAGATGGCAAACAACACAAGAATATGGTCAATAATAAATCAGCTCAGACTAACACAGTTGAGCTTCCTTCTAAGATGCCTTCTTGAGGACAGAATCTAAAACAGAACTGCATGTCTCCTTTATAGAGAAGGCTACCCCATAATGTACTGTGACAGGCTCAATGAGGGAAAAAAAAAGATCCAAGATGGCAAACAACACAGGAATATAGTCAATAATAAATCAGCTCAAAATAATGTGTTTTTTGAACATTAAAGCATGTCAACATATTCTGTTACACCAAATACACAAAATAATGATCTTTAAAATAGCATCATATGACCCCTTTAAAACTATTGTAATGTCACGCTCAAAGTTCGCAGTGTTTTCATGGCCAGTGAAATGCAGAGAAAAATGTAGGCAGCAAGCCAAAAACTTTCCATTGAAACGGTCTGTTTATTGTTGATATACAGTGCTGATGTCAAGCTTTCATCCTGTGCAGGAGCACTTGAAGGACATACCTCTCCCATTCGGCTTTTCCCCTTGAGGTCAGCCAGCTCATCCCTGAGCTCATCTCTCTCATTCCTAATGCAATCAAAGTACTCTTTCTGTCTCTCTAACGCCTGGCCACACGAAGGGCAGGAAAAGAGAGAGGAGGGAAGAGAAAAGTAGACAAAGAGACAGCAGAAAACGCAATGAACAGCCTTCAGTTAGGGCTGGGCAATATAGCTTAAAGAAATTATATATATATGTATATATATATATGGTGTATATAAAATATCTATGTTGCATATAAAAAGTTTTTTTCAGCTTTTGATGCATGATATACACTTCTGTGTGCACTGAATTTAACTTTCTTGAAGGCATTTCAAGGCATGTTTTCGATAAGAATGATACTGATATTGACAAAAAAATAATAAACAGCAATATTTACCAACATATATCGTCTTTAATATATATATTGCCCAGCCCTAGCTTTAGTCACAGATGGCAGGATGAAAATGGACCATGCTGACAGATGAACAGTGCAGGAAGTGAAGGAATGCTGTTATTAGTCTGTATAGTGCTTTTCTTTCATTCATCTTGAGCAATTCGTGGATTTTCATGCAGAAGTGAGTATATCAAAAGTAAAACCAATCAATCTTCTGGATGCAATATATTTTCATGATACCAGCAGAGGGCAGCACTTTTTTCATACATTGCCCATAAATCCATTCAAACAAAAATTGATGCAAATATATTCTCCTTGTTTTTATGAACAAGCTCTAAATGTCTAAATTTTTACATGCACATTATATTAGCCACACATCAATCCTTTGTAAAAACAAAAACAAAACAAAAAATGAGACTATATACATATAAATTTGTTTATATGTATAAGGATGCCTGGCAAAAATAACGTTAATAGATGACTAAGAGTTAAATAAACAGTTAATTTAATCAGTCTTTCTGCCATCAATACAAGCAGCATCTCCTAAACCGTCCTACCGCAATCTTTTTGTCCTTCCAGTTAACAGTTTCCTGCAGGTCAAATGCCTCTCTTGTGAGGTTATCTAGTTTTTGCTGAATTTTCTGGTTCTCCTGGGGATACGTTTAATAAAGCAGAAAAGGACAGATTCAAAATAGACACAACAAAGAAGCGATGAGACAGAACATATGAAGGAAGAAAACAGGAGGATCTCTCAACGGAGGAAAGTGAATGACAAAGACTCTGAACCTTCCAATTTCATGAAGAACATAAAGCACACTTTCACTCCAAGACTTCAAATCACCTATAACTTGATTATTTTGCAAAAGCTTTTAAAACATTAACCTAATGCAAATGTTTCTAATGTCTTCAAATGAATTTGTGGTCAATAAACCATTTCTGTTCTGTGCTCTACCTCGATAAGTTCATCTCGCTGACGAATGCCCTCCTTCATTTCCTCTAGTTTGTGCTGTAGGACTGAACATGTGTGCTTCTGCCGCTCTAACTCCTGTCAATCAAAAGAAAAACACATTCACAATCTGCCAAAGATTGTGTACAGGGTTCCAACAAATGTATCAGAAATAAACCTCTGAGAATACATGGCATTTACAATCAGCTGGGTCTGTGCATTTTGTGCCAATAAGACAGCTGGACCATACAATGTTTTTTTAAATCTGATGAATCACTGTCAAATCAATCAAAACAGTTTTATTTTCTAAAAAATGCTAGTTTATTACAAGCACCTTTGATTTCTCCTCCGTTTCCCTGCGCAGCTCTGACATTTGCTCTTCCATCTCCTCGATGACGTCTTTGAGTGTGTCCACTTGGTAGATGAGGTTTGCCTTTTCATTGTCCAGCTGGGCGTTGGACACCATGGCTTTCTTGTACTTCTCCTCCACTTCTGACAGAGAATCCTGATCAAAAGGAGGAAAAATCTTTCACACAAAAGTACTGGAGTAGCTTTACATGCTACAAAACCACTACAAAACGGAATAACAGGCAAATGAAGCACACAGTCACTGAACACTGCACTGAAGATTAGACAAAAATGTGATGTACAAGTAAAAACTGAAAAGTGCAAGTGTAATACAACTAAATATTATAAAGTCGGACAGAATTTTTTAAAGTCAACATGAAATCAAAATGGTCCCATTTATTTACTAAATGCATGTTCCTGGTCTTACCGTCCACATTTCTTTGTAACTTGTCCTAAAAAGATAACATGCTCTGCCTCTGAAATGACTTTCCCATATCGACTCTTTCCCTCCAATCACTTGTCCCATCCAGGTAAACTACTGTTCAAAGGTTATGGTCATTAAGATTTTTTATGCTATTATGCTCACCAAGGCTGCATTAGTTATTCAAAAATACAGAAAAAACTGTAATAGTGAAATATTATTATAACTTTCTATATGAATCTGTCATTTATCCCCGTGATGGCAAAGAGTTTTCAGCAGCCAATAATCCAGTCTTCAGTGTCGCACGATCCTTCAGAAATTTTACTGATCCCAAACTTTTGAACAGTAGTATATGTAATGCCACCTTTTTACAATCCAATCCATTCTTAATAGATAAAATCAAGTCCCTAAATAGGTTGTTTGCAGTATTTCATGTTGCCTTTAACACTGAATAATATATGACATCAGATATAAGAAGGAACTTCCATATCTATGTCACATTAACCCTCGTCTGTTCATGTACAGTTCCTTCACAGTCTCTCAATGATATCAGGATTTTCAAAGCAGGGTCTCCAACTTCCAAATGTGAACTGGACAAACACTGAAATCCTTTGCACAGCTGATTAAATATGTGTGTCTGCATCCTCGTCCATCTTCTCTATTAACAGCAGTTAGAAGTGAGGCAGAAGACTTCCATGTGACTTCAGCTCTTTAGAGCAAGTACGTCTTCAGGCAACACGACTGTGGGCTAAACGTGATTGTAAAGAGCTAATGTAGTACGTGAAAGACTCATGCAAGGCTCATGCTCTCAGACTAGGAGTGCTTAGAGCCTGGTGTGTTAGTGGAGAATGAGGGAAGGCATGCGTTGAGCTCAGGACCCTCTACCTTCAACTCTTTAAGACCCTGCATGTATCGGCCCTCTACATCCTGAATCTGGTCCTTTAGATCATAGATGTCCTGTTGAGATCATGGGAAAGGTTTGGCATTCACTGAAGGTCAGAGCGGTGACCTCTAATTGTACATTCATACAAACACAAAAAGGAGAGAGCTTCCCGAAGGCATTCAAACATAAAGAGGAAAGAAACGAAAGCATTAACAGACACAAATAAAACTGTGAAATGAACAAGTGGATTCTCTGAGATCGGATGCATTCAGTAGGAAAGTATGATGCTCTATGCTCAGCCAAAATATGTTCAAAGGCAGGTAGATTCATCTTGTTTCATGAAATACCTCAGCAATCTGTATTACAGTTTGTGCAATGCAAATAAACAACATAATTACCCTTAACTCGCTGATAGAAGCCTCTGCATCCATAACGATGCTTCCAGCATCTCCGCTGCCCCTTCTAGAACTGCTGCCTCCCAGAGATGCCAGGGCAGCTGCAGAGAGCGCCGGGGTGGTACATCGAGAGGATGGCTGGAGGAAACGAGAGCACAAAACACCCATCAACAATGAATCAAAACATTATTCAACAACTGTAACATCTGTTGGTTAAATTTATTTGCAAAAATTCGGTAGGATGCTTGCAGTAGGGGTGTGCAATATATCATCTATGACAACATCGTAATCGTATATTGCAAAAAACAAAAACACACCCAGAGACTGCACGCATGATGCAAGTTAGACTACTGCGCTAGCACATTTAGAGTTCACACTTTCACTGCATGATTTAGTATATTAAAATACATTTAGAATTCCCCCAAAATTAAAAATAAGGGGGCAAATATGCCCCAGTATGACTTTTGTCTTTTATATCATCTGATTAAGTTACGAATACACAAAGAGTACAGTTTTTTCTCCAAATATCAGTATGATTGCAAATGTGACATCGGTTTTAAAAAACAGTCCAATACACAAGTTAATATTAATCGACTTACATTTAAGACACAAGTTCCTGTTTTTGTTCTATTTCTTCAACGCAAATAGTTTCTAACAAAGCCACAGCAGAATTGTTTTGCGTCTCTGAGCAACACAGGACAGTGTTTTGTTACTGAATCAATCAGCTGTTTGAACAAATCAGTTGACTAAATGACTCAATGACTCACTCATGCAGTGATCTGCCACCACCTACTGGCGATTTTAGGTTTATATTAAAAATATATTGCCCTTTATACCCAAAATCATTTCAAATATCAGTATTCAACATTTTTTTTTTAGTTTATGCATTTGTAATTGCAGGTTAACAGCATTCATGTCCTGCATTATACAGTCTGTGTAAATGCATCTAAATGCCACTTCTGCATTGCAAACTAATTTTGTTAATACTGATTTCATTTGATTGGTAACAGCCCTATAGTGTCTTACTATTTAAATTTATTGATTAAATTTAAGAATCTGCCACAAAGATGATGCATACTTTTAGTTAGGTTAGAAAAATTGGCCTTATAATGGTGAAAATGCCCATAAAAGGTAAAAATCTATTTAACCTTATTGTAAAAGTTAATTTCTGTTACACCTACAAACTAACCCCTGCATCAAATATGAAGAATATCAAAAGCTTTGGGAATCAGCTGTCCACGGCAGTGCTAAACCTGTCAAAATACCAGCACAATAACATGCTCAGCAAAATATTGTCTAATTATCGTTATTCCAAAAAGGATTGATTTTTTTTTTTTTTTGCCCGCAACACAACGGCGCTGTATGTTGGCCCACAAGGCTATTGGCGCAGACGAAATATCAGTTTTTGTCATTATTCCACACCCCTAGTTTGCAGATGCAACATGCTTATTTCATTTATTCCTGTGACGCAAAACTGAATTTTCAGCAGCCTTTACTCCAGTCTTCAGAGTCACATTGTCCTTCAGAGATCATAATATGCTGATCAAGAAACATTTCTAATCATTATTAATGTTGAAAACAGTTGTGCTGTTTAATATTTTTGTGGAAACTGTGATATACATTTTTAGGATTCTTTGATTAATAGAAAAAAAATAAATAAATAACATGTAAAAAATAATAATAATAACATTCCGATATTTGTAATAGAATATTAACCTTATTTAACACTTTCTATTCATTTAATTTGTCTTTACTGAATAAAATTAATTTCTTTAAAAAAATCTTACTGTCCTCAAACTTTTAGTGGTGTATTTAAAAATAACAAAAATAACAATTCACTTAAACCTGCTCTAGATATCCAGAAATTTTACTTAAGCACTGAATGAAAAAAAACTGACCAAATACAGACTAACTTTCCCCTAATGAGAAGAGAAACATAAACTTGGGTCTTAATTATGTGTCAAATATCTCACAACACAGGGAAGTGGAAAATGATCTCTCTTCCTCTTACCCGGCTGTAGGGGTCTGTAAACTGCTTGTCACATTTCTCATCAAGCTGAAAAAGAAGAAAACACCATTAATCTCATTGGTTACATTTAGAAAAATACACGTCGCAATTTGAATGGCCTGGGTTTTGCCTTCATCCTAAAGTAAGACAAAGAACAAGGTTAGTATGATGCTACTTCTTGTAGCCTGTTTTAGGCACACATCATGCCACGGAACTCATACAATTTAACCAGAAACCATCAAAGTCAGTGCTCCAGCCAGACTTCACCAAAACTCCCTGTTTTAAAACCAAACGTTGACCAACCAAAAGAGACACACATAACAGTTAGATGCATTTATTCAGGAATAATACATTTACCTTCCTAAAAGCCGTCATTAAATAAAAGAGTCAAGTAGAGTCATTTTAATGCAATTTTTACACAGTATCAAGCCATGCAGAGTAAACCAGCTTTAATAACTGAACTATCCCTTTAAGTAAGCATCCAGTGCTCTTTAGTCAACTTGTCACATGGGTTAATATTTCATGCATGTCTTGACTTACACTGTCCAGGTCTGGGATGCTCAGATCATCAAGATCAGAGACAATACTGCCTCTGCGATTAGAGCGGCTGAAATAATCAGCAGCCGTCTCAGAGATATCAGAGAAATCAGACAACTACACACAGACAGACGAGAACATGGGAAAGTGAAAGAAAATAAGAAGTTGAAGTGGAAAAGTTTTTATGATATATTACTGTTTTAATGACAACAGAATATGCGGTTGCATTGTCTGAACACTGGATATGCGGTCACAGTTTCTATTCTGGCTCACCACACTATCCCTTCTCCCACGTCGACCTCGAGATACAGTGCTGCCAGAATCGTCATCAGAGGATGACTGAAAGGTTTAAAAGAGGATGATTCAAAAGAAGAAATGCAAATTGCACAGGGAAGAAAACCAAAAACCATCTGTCATAACTGTTAATCAGAACATGCAACCATTTCAATGAAGTCACTCTTTTAATAGCACTCTATTTGTATTAGTGACAAGTCATCAAACAATGCCATTGCTACTTAAGATGTTTAGACAAATGCACCACATGCAAAGACATTGGCGGAATTCCTGCCCCATCTTCAGAGACCAACCTACAAATTATAAGTTTTAACACATTTCTGGACATACTACACCGACAATGTTGGCTTTAAATTTTTGGCTCAGATGTTGATGACCTATGACAAGCCAAGTTGCTTAATGGCACAAGTCCCAAAAAAAACAAAAAAACAAAAACAAAAGCCACCTCCATGTCTCTATGATATAATGGTACTCTATATACACAATCATTCAAAAGTTTGGGGTCTGTAAGATTTTTTATTTTTTTAAATTAATACTTTTATTCAGCAAGGATGCATTAAAGTGATCAAAAGTGACAGTAAAGAAATTTATAATGTTACAAAATATTTCTCTTTCAAATAAATGCTGTTCAAACTTTCTATTAAATCAAAGAATTCCAAAATAAAAACATGATTTCCACAAAAAAAGATTAAGCAGCACAACTTTTAAAATTGTTTTCAATGACGTTTCTTAAGCAGCAAATCAGCATATTAGAATGATTTCTGAAAACTAATGATGCTGAAAAATCAGCTTTGCCATCACAGGAATAAATTACATAATCTATATTTCTTCCTGTTGGCAGCTGTGCTAAATTATTTTGATACGGATTTAATGGTAACAAATTTGTGATTGATTAATGTATTTAGGTCTCTCCACAACTCTCCTTCCCTTTTTTTTTTTTTTTAAAGTTCTTTTCCTCGCCTTCCACCTCCTCCCCTCCTCTTTCTTTTCGAGGTAATTGCCTGATCAGGAATAAATTACACAAATATATTTAAATATAAAAGTTGCTTTATTTTTGATTAATTAATTGCAGCCTTGACCAGCATAAAAGCCTCAAAAGCATTAAAAACATCTTACCAACCACAAACTTTTGAATAGTAGGGTATAGCGTTGTCTCTTCTTCACGGTCTATGAAGTTTTTTTTCATAAACAGTAAGTTCAGTCACTTCTGCACACCTCCCCTTGACATGCCAAAAATTTGAGGTATCATTAATGTTCGTAACACAATCAATGCATGAGTTACAAACTTAAGTTCAATACGTGGAGTTAGACTAATGCAAACATCTACTTTCAAAAGGTGAATTATCTGAGTGTATAATATAGATAAGCACACACTGGCGTTTCAGAATGAACACATGCATGAGCAGCTGCTGCAGCTCTGGACACATGCGATGCTCACCACAGGGCTACTGCGGGTGGAACTGGCACCAGAAGAATACCAACTGCATTCAGAGGGCTGCAGGGGGAATAACACTGACCACTGAGCCAACGCTGCTCCGGGGATATGATAAGATTATTGTTTTAGTATGTATGCTATGGCATCACTTACAGCTCTGGAACTATATGAACCATACAGACCGTCATCACATATGGAGGCCTGAGAACACAGATCTCACATTTTTTAAATGAGCAGATGACAAAGAGGCTTATAAAACAGAGTGGGGATTAATCACATCCAATCACATGGCAGATGTGCTGAAAATCTGACTGACCACACTATAGCTGCGCGTCAGACCTGTAGAACTGCTGCTGGACGGAGCCTGTGAAGGTCAAACAACAAGCAACAGCTGTCAGATATCTCCAGAGTCAAACCGACGATTCCAGACTAGCTTTTCAAACTGAAGGAACAACAAATACTGAAATAAAAACCTTGACTAAAACTAACTTCATACATAACAGAATTAGCAAGGAAGAACTTTCCAGGAGGACTTAAAAGACTTTTCCTTAAAGATTTGCAGTGTGAGAATATTAAACATGCAGAAAGGAAGGAGACAAACCCGTGGTGTATAGGTAGAGACAGTAGAGGGAGAAGGCTTGGAGTTCTTTAAGCTGGTGTAGTTTCTTTGGTCATGATACAATCCAGTCTAAGGAAATGGTGTAAAGCAATGGGAAATGAACACCGATATCTGATATGAATCATAGTCACAAATCTGAAATAACATGCTCTAAACCAGGAAGAACATGTTCATGATGATGCATCAAGAATGAAGCAGCTTTTGAGTTCAGGATATTGATCAGTACTGACCAGAAGATCCTTTTTGGAGCTACTGCCAACAGGTTTTTTGTGAAGATCATTATATACAGAACTCTGGAAGAGAAGATCACAAATGTGTAAAGCTTTCTCTTACTAATGGTAATAATTTACCAATTTTGGAACCAGAAAGGCTGCACAGCCCTCTACGAACACCTTGGCAATTGAATCGCCATTGGCTAGTATATTTTTTAGTTCACTCGCCAAACTGATATATATATGTATGTTTGTTTGTAAAATGATGTGCTCATTCAGAGAGTGTTCGGCGAGTGAAAATACATCTGAGCTAAACTTATACTTAGCCTCCAACACTGGCGATTTACACACTGGCGAATAAAATCTGAGAATTTATTAGCAATTGGCTAATATTAGACATCATTTAGTCGCCAGAGTGAAGATTTAGTCGCATATGCGAGTGATTTACTCGCAATGTAGAGGGTTGCTGCATGATTTGAGGGGAAAATCTAATCGCAATTTTTGGGATAAAAATTGTGATTTAAAATGTAATTATTTGTTGGGCTGTTTAATTATTATTACTAAAGGTAAAATATAAAAAATAAGAAATATTCATTTTCCCTGAAAATTTTCCCTATAAAAAAATTAAATAATTATTAGATTTTACAAGTGTAAAACGGCAATACTAATATTTTTGGCTGTCCTATTTTCTTCATTTTCAAACATTAAACCACAGAGATTGCATTTTATTTTGATGGAAAGCCACAGAGGATTCCATACAGCTTCTCTTTTGTTGAACAGAGCCTGTTTATAGGCACTTCTCATTAACACTTTTGGTTAAACGTTTTGGGAATTTTTCGCTCCCAAATACACGTTATAAGTGACCCAAACTTATAACATTCATGTAGTTTGTGAGTTCGTGTATAGCAGCATTTGCTGTGACCTGAGTTGCTCTGAGACACTGAAAACACTGGAATATGAGCTGCCTGTGTGTAAAGGAACACAGTGCAGCGCTTTACTCTGAAACATGCAGCTCATATATTTAATTAAATCAAAGCCACTGCGATTTGATTATCGCACTAAGCCACATCACAAGTTTTATTTTGCTTAATTGTGTAGCCCAAGAATCTAGTCACAGATATATAAAGCTATGCTTTCATAGTACAATGCTGGAAAGAACAAAGATCCCAGAGCTGGCTGTCTGCACTTATAAAATGTCAAACTGGAACAGTATAAAATACTTAAATGCAGAACTTCTGACACTCAAAAGAGAATAAACTGTAAACTGTCACAGATACATACAGTGGAGTGGGAGTTCTTCAAAGAGGAACTACTGGAGATACCAGACTGCAGAGAAAACAGCACAACCATCACAATCTATGCTGGATATACTGTATAACATGAAGTAATCCATGCCGTAGACATGCCATGTGCGCTAATAAGGGAGCGCTACGTCAGATCATACCAAAGACCTTTTTGTGTTAGTGCACTCAGTCAATGAGTCAGTGCGGTTATGCTTCATTTATAAAAAACCACTCAACAGTGCTAGTCATCAATAGCACAAAGCCTGCCTGTAATGTTCATGCACATCAACCTTGAAGTAACCTACATGAAAATCCAATGTTGCTTTCAGAATATTATTCCTTAGCTGTACTGTCATTGCCTTTTCCAGGTCTGAATTTCATAAATAATCTCATTAAAAATTTTTACATTTTCCATGACCATGGGAATCATGCATGTCTTTAGAAATCAGCTTTAGAATTAGATAATTTCAATATTATATAAGCTAAAGTACGTGCTACACAGACAAACTTTCTAGCCAATCAAATAGAGCAAACAATGTTAGTATAATACAGCAGCCTAATTTAGAGAGTCATGATAGTCACACAAGAGAAAACAATGTTGCCAAAATACACACAGTACAACGTTAGATGGAAAACACACACACACACACACAGTGACGTACCACCAAGTCTCTTCTCCGGGAAGAACTAGCCCGACTGGAGCGATCAGAACTGCTCAAGTCTCGTAAAGATGCTGAACTTGACTTTAAAAGCAGACGTCCAATAGGAAAACATTCATTTTTCATATTCCAATAGCATGTAAAATGCACTTTTCATGCTATTGGAAATCTACCTTTCTAAACAAGCTTTTAAAACTTTCCAGTTTGTGATTACTGGATCAATAAAAATATGCTGATTTGATTGCTGGGGCATATTTCTATTTGCATGTTACGTACCAATATTTCAAATGAAACAATTATCATAAATAATGTTCAAATGTCACAAAAAAGACCTATTTCACATTAGCTTGCAGGCAAGTTTTACTCTACACAATTGAATAAAGTCTGAATGCACTTTCATAAAGTTCAGGATGACACACCCTGTAACTTCCGACACTTCGGACCGACGCTGTATCATCACTTAATCCCTGTTGATAAGAAATTAGGAGAAAAAAGAAATAAGACAATTAAAAAAAAGAGGAAAAAGGACGAGACACAGACAGAAACATCAGGAGATACAGACCCGTCGACTGTGGCTACTGGAATGATGACCATGACGGGCCTTTTCTGCATCAGCCTGAGATGAACAGAATGAAGAAGATAGAATTTAAACAAAAGAAGCTGCATGTTTTAGGCTGTGCTAGTGTTAGTCTTCACCGGTAGTCCTAAACAAACTCTAAACATACTTAACTTGCTGATAGTCTGCCAGGATAAGACCTGTTCAAATTTCAAGGCAAGCATACAAGCTTACTAGCAGCAACATGACAACAGGGGCTGGGCAACATAGCTTAAAAAAAAATATAAATTTTTTTACACTTTTGACAAAATTCTAAATGTATCTTATAGTGCTGTCAAATGATTAATTGCAATTAATCGCATCCATAATAAAAGTTTTGGTTTACATAATATATGTATGTGTACTGTGTATATTTATTATGTATATATAAATACACACACATGCATGTATATATTTCAGAAAAATATGCTGTTTATATATTAAATATATTTATTTATAATATACATTATATGAATAGACATGTAAATACAAGTAAATATTTTCAAAATATATACTGTATGTGTGTGTATTTATATATACATAGTAAAGAGACACAGAACACACAAATATATTATGCAAACAAATACTTTTATTTTGTATGCGATTAATCGCGATTAATCGTTTGACAGAACTAATATCTTAATATTTACATATTTGCTTTTACTGATGCAAGTAGTTAAACAGTAAATATCTAGCTGAAAATAAATCAGGGCATATTTTGCACAATGTTATTCACTGAATGAACAATAAAATTAATTTACTTCTATTTAATTAAATGTAATATAAAAATACAATATAAAATAAACAGTTTAAAATACAATGAACGCTTAAATACATTAAATATGTACTGCAGGGTTTTAAAAAAATAATTAATGAATTTTGCTATAAAAACATCTTTAATAAAAATGTTAAATGCATTAAAATCAGTGTGATACTCACAATATAATTTAGTATTGGCAGCAAAATCACTGCAAAGACATCAGAAACATATCACCCAGCCCATAAAGAAAAGGCCACATAGAGATACTCGGTTTAGACTGACAAAATTAAAATGCTGAGACCAATTTTATGGGGTTACCACTGTAATATATACAAACACACAAACACTAAAGCAAATAGATCATGTGCAAAAAACTCTCCAGAAAAAGTAAATCCAATGCTGTCCTAACAGAATACTATTTTTAAAGACAACAACAGTACCACAAGGGTTTCTTTATAAACCCAAAAAACCAAAAGTATTATTAAAAACATGCTTGAAAGCCACATACAAACAACTGAGTGTATGAGAATACAGCTAGCACACTCCCATCTGAAAGCTCTTTATTAGTAAAAAGGCGAAAGTACATGCATGTCTAAACTGGCCTAATCATTCTCATACCATCCATTGGTGGATTTGCCCCCATTTCCTGCTAGAGGAGGAGTGCTGATGGTAAGACAGCTGTGAGAGAGAGACAGCCACAAGACAAACACAAAGACTTCTATTGCAATTCAACATGACAGTGGATTGTTTGGTACTTTTTTGGTGAATGTCTTTCAGAGAAAGAGAAAAACAAAAACAAACATACTGATGAACAAACCCATTAACACGCAATTACTCATACTGAAAGTATGTACTTCAGTATGCAAACATATTCTTCAAACCAGTGAAGAACAACATCTGAAAATGTACAAGTACAGAAAATACCGACAGATACAGCGGACATCGATAACTGAATCATTCACATGTGGCTTCAACCATTGAAAACATACTGTATTGTCAAAGGCCTGTTTCCACTTATGAGTTTAGTTAGTCAGCTAGCTAAATCTGGGTTGTGAATCTGGAACTACTTGTAAAAGCATTCGTACTTCGTCCTCGCAACAAAAATGCTTGAAACAGACAAGCACATTACGCAAAAGACCACTCTAAAACAATCATTCTGCTTTACTGCAACAAAAGAGGGGATGGTCTGTAGAAGATCAGGCATATTCTGAACGAAATCCAGAGGCTCTGTTCCGAAACCTAGTTAGCTTCCTTGCCATTTAATGCCACGGAGACAGCATCCTAACTGAAATCGAATCTCATACATGGATTTGGAACTAAATATGCAGCAATCCGTGTGTCATACTTAGGGCTGGACGATATGGCCAAAATTTATATCACGATATATTTCTTAATTTCGGTCGATACGATATAATTCCAATATCGATATGAACACTATTAAAATAAGCCTCGTAAAAACTGCCAAGAACTCCCACAACAGATGTCTGTGCATACAAACTTATGAAAAATGAATTTGCCAAGTCTATGACACCTCATATAAAACCATATAATGAAACAAATGTGCTTTAGCCAGTATAAAGAGTATGAAAAGTGCTGCAGAAAAAAAATAAATAAATAAATAAATAAATAAAAGAGCAACAAAAAAAACATGTTGCTGGAGACGGAAAATGCAAACTGATTGTCTGCCAGCAGGAGGCGCTTTGAGAGCTGTAGAACTAGCGGTTTCCCCGGTAACAGCTGTAATCAAATCAGCTCTGCTCATGAACGCTTCTTTATCAGATAAAATGAAAATGCCATCGAAACTTTTCTGAAGACAATCACAGTCCTTTCCCTTCAAAGATACATTCATATAAAACACCCACGACGTGTTTTGATTTTGAAATGTGCAGTGCTCATGTTTATTCAACGAAGTCAAACGCCACAAATAAATCAATATATGGGAAACACTGGTAATGTATATCGAAATATCGGAAATGTGTTTAAAAATCATATCACCGTTATTGAAAAAAAATATATCGCAATACATATCGATATTGAATTATTGTCCAGCCCTAGTCATACTAATAGTGCTCATCATATGGGAGACTCAATAGTGTTTTGCATTATCATTTTGCTAAGCATTATGGGATTTTCTTTCTCCATTATGGATATATGCAACCCTGCATCAATTATGCTGCTAAGTTTTTGGAACAGACGTCATGTTGAAAGTTTGCCAATAATGCCTTACAATGCTGCCTATACATGTAGTTCACTAGGTTTTGGAACAGAGGATCAATGTAGAACAGACCTGACTGAAATAAGTATAATAAACATGTGGTCCTGGCTTTGGGCAAAGGCAGAGGAAAGAGGTATGAAGACCTTGAGAAACTGCACATTGGTGCAACTTCTCAACCCATTTGCTCTATAGGACTCACCTCTTTCTGTTGCCGCTCCAATTCTTTCATCTTGGAACAGACGTCATGTTGAAAGTTTGCCAATAATGCCTTACAATGCTGCCTATACATGTAGTTCACTAGGTTTTGGAACAGAGGATCAATGTAGAACAGACCTGACTGAAATAAGTATAATAAACATGTGGTCCTGGCTTTGGGCAAAGGCAGAGGAAAGAGGTATGAAGACCTTGAGAAACTGCACATTGGTGCAACTTCTCAACCCATTTGCTCTATAGGACTCACCTCTTTCTGTTGCCGCTCCAATTCTTTCATCCGGATGTCCCGAGCCTCAGCACGAGCTGCTCTCTTCGCAGCAAGTCTGGCCTCCGCCTGCACAAGAGAGGAAAGAGAAATGTATCTTAATAGCTGTTGCATTAAACAATCTGAGCAGAAAGCACTCTGTCTGGACGCTTAATGGTATCTTGGACCTGCAATTTTAAAAAGTGGTCATTATTCTGCATCTGTCCTGTATGAATCGTTCAGATAACTCACCGCCTTACAGAACCGACTTTTTACTCACTCACTCAAACACTGTAGGTTATTTTGTTAAACTCAAAATTAGAGATGCACCGATCGATCGGCCAGGGATCGGAATCGGGCGATTTTCCTCATGATCGGCCCGGATCGGTGACCGGTCGGTCAGTCTCACTTCTTTCCGATTCCGAGCCAATCCGTTTTGTTACCAGCGGCACAGGCAAAAACATCAGCCGCGCATTCTCACTCTCATCTCTCCCGACGACCCTTTCTCTCTCACACACGTCTCATTCGCTCCGGTTAAATAGTGCTTGTATTACGCATTATTTTAGTCATTCCCGTAGGTTTCGCGCTTACGCCAAAAGCTCACGCACCACCACTGATCTATATTAGTGGAGCGCTCAGTCTCAAACAGCTTGTGAGCCACAAATACCAAAATGAGTGGCTAACTGCGCTAAAACGGTCAAATACATACTACAAAAGTATTTCTTACCTGAATAAAAACTTGACCTGAAAAACTTAGTTTCATAGCCCTCTTTATTCTATTGCATTCATTTGTGCTGTTGTTTGCTATTTTTTTTATTTGTTCTTATTACTGACTTTTTACTTGTTTTTTTTATGAAAATAAAACTTTGCGTTGAAGAAAAGTAGATTTTTGTTTGTATATGCTGTCAATTATAGTTCTTAAAAAGAAAATCGGAATCGGCATCGGCAGATCACACTAACAAAAAAAATCGGAAATCGTAATCGGCCAGGAAAATTGCAATCGGTGCATCTCTACTCAAAATGAGCCAAGAATCATCAATAAATAATTTTATTAAAATAGGATGCATTAAATTGATTAAAAGTGACAGTAAAGACATATTGTTACAAATAGGGCTGTCACGATTCGTTGATTTTATTAGACAATTAGATTTTTAAAAATCCTCGACTTCATTTTGCTCACGTCGACTAACCGGCAAAATACCGGAAATGGCGCATTTCACGGACGAGAATCCATAAAACACATTATTAGACTGTTTCCCAAGGCTGCATGATATATTAAACCCATTTAAAAATCATAATTAAGCATAATTGTGAATTCACAAATGCTACGATTTAATTAAATAATTATATGCGATGCAGTTCTAATACAGTATATGTGCTTTATTTACATGCGTGTAGATTAAGAAAGTGCGTCACATGTATTTTAAGTAATTTTAAAGGCTACTGTTCACTTACATCTATTTTTATTACCACAAAAAAATTAATTATAATTATAGGGCCCTATGAAATCCGTTTTATTTCCAAATTCAGTTTTTTTTCCATTTTCATTTTTCTATACTCTGTTTTAATGGTTAATTAAAATTTTATAAATCAAAAAGCCTGTCTAATTAACTGAGTTTTACCAAATTCTGTTTTCCATTATTTTCTGGATTCCATTTTAATGGTTCCATTAAATTGTAATAATCAAAAGCATCTCCAATTAATTGATTTTATTGTATATATTATTAGTACACTAGAACACTAGATATGTTGTCATTCTTACACTATAATACTGAACTTTGATTTCAGTGATTTGGACTATGAGATGGACACTTGCTTCTTGCACTCCATGTTGCACTTTACTTTTGCCTTAAAAAAAGGATTTCATAGAAATATGGATTTCATTTGGTTTAATAAAATATAGTTTAATAAAATATTCTTAAGTAAAATTGTTGATTTTTTGTGGGAAATTAATCGTTCAGATTAATTAATTAATTAGTCGATAGATTAATCAAAATAAAAATAGTCGTTAGTGGCAGCCCTAGTTACAAAAGATTTCTATTTCAAATAAATGCTGTTCTTTTAAACTTTTAAATAAAATTGCCAACCCTTTGAACAGTAGTGTATATATTTAAAATACAGAACTGGAATGAAATAGAAGTGCATTTTCGCTGCTTTCTCCACTGTTACTGGCATTTTACGCTGATGGTTCAAAAGTCAGCAATCATAACATGAATAGACGTCAGAGCTGTGGATAGCGTACATGCTGATGATATATATAAGAGCAGCTGGCGCACGGGACCCATATTCAAACCTGAGTCATGTCTCAATCCCATTGGCCCTCTTTCAGCCTCAACTTTCCTGTCTCGCTACAGTCCTATAAATAAATGCCCAGAAACACCCATAAGAATAAAAAAAAAGAGGGGAACAGTCATATTTTCCATGCAACATCTTCATAATACATGGGTGGACATGATATAAGTGAGAAACCATGGCTGGGAGGACATCACTCTTAAACTTCACTGGACTGTTTAGGAAAACATTTAACGGCTTAAGAAGGCATTCAAGAGTCCTGACACAAAACACTGAAAAGGGTGTCCTGGGAAACCACACCTGTCTCTGTGACAACACTGGGCTCTGCAATAAAGCAGCCCATGCTTTTCAGCTTTTTTAAATCTTTGGGTTTGCGTTTTCTGACATCAGGTTGGCTGGCATGTTTTTAGAGGGCGGGTTTGGTAAGAGAGGGGTTGTGGCTGAAGCAGTGGGGGTGGTCTAATTCACGTCTACAGGAAGAACGGCTGATCTGTACCTAGGTGAAAAAACAACAAACGTGATTCAGCAGCAGTGTCTAATTTAAGATCAACACACACACACAGTGCACCAGACTCACACTCCAGGTAAACAAATGCTGGATGATTTCCGACTATCACATTCCTCATGTGGCACACATGCAATATGACCTGCTTGCATTTCCTAATACCCTACATAATAATTCATTACGTTACACTTCAATACAAACATGCCTTGACAGATCGGACAGTGACTTTGCAAAGTATGCAGCCTGACAGCAAACATTTAAACAAGGCTTACGGCAAATCTTTACACATATGGTGAGGTTAGAGAGGGTGGGCTCTGTGTGTGTGTGTGATTCTTATGTTCAGCACCTGTTGAGTTGTCTGACAGTTTGACCCCCTCACCAGAGCAGCTCAGCTGAGCCCAGTGTCTCCAGCTCTATCTATAGACAAGCAGAGCCTCCGTCATGAGACTGCAACAGGAAATCTGAGCGGGGGGAGACACACTTACTTCACAACCTCCAACATAGCCGTTCATTTATTAGAGAGACAGTCTTACTGTATTCTGCAGAACAGGAGCTCCATAGGCGAACAGACCAATGCGATGACACAGCATGACTACACAATAAGCTTATCAAAGTCGATATGTAAATGTTTGCAACTGTATTACTGCAGGTCACAATAAAATGCAAAGTGTCTATATCTGCACTGGTTCATTATTCAAAGAGCAGTCAGCTTGTCGTTTAACACCTACTTTAAGCGTACATTTATAAGACTCTATCATATTCAAGTGGCGTAAAAACACTAATTTGAACCTTAGAGTAGGGCTGCACGATAAATCGCATGCGATATTTAACGCGCATCTTGTCAGAAAGCCGGTTCTTTAATCAGCGGTAAATCTCCATCACCTGCAGCATTAACTACACAGAGCCGTTGTTCACTGACGAGCTGCGCCAAACCACGTTCATATTCGCGCGATTTTTTGCGCAGCTCATCAGTGAACAACGGCTCTGTGTAGTTAATGCTGCTCAATGTGAAAGCCCGCAGGTGATGGAGATTTACCGCCGATTACAGAACCGGCTTTACTGATAAGATGCGCGTTAAACATCGCATGCGATTTATCGTGCAGCCCTACCTTAGAGTCTTCATTTTAAAATAATGTCAAGAAAACATGCTGTTCTTCTGGGTTGTCTTTGTGGATTGCAGGCAAATCAATGCACAACCACTGTAGTCTGATTCACGAACAACACTTATGAACCAGATTTTTCAATGCAAACATGAATGTTTCAATGAAACATTCAAAAAGAATCACAAGTTGCCAGTTTGAATTAGTCTGACAAATCCTTCACTGAATGAACTCACTGAATCCATTGAGGCTGCTTACAGAATCAACAATCAGAAATTTGACTTACTGAACTGTAAGTTATGATACTTTCAGTGATGTCTGATTATATTTAAGTTGATTGTCTTATGGCTGATAAGCTAGGCCATTGAAACTTACAAGTCACTTTACATAGTTAATAATTTTCAGCAAAGCCTACATTTCAGTAGAATATGTCAACCAGCATGTGCCAATCTCTAGTAAACAATGTGAGGCGGTTTATGTGCATTGTGCAATAGCAACATTATATTCAGCCTAACGCTGAACTGATCCAATGGACTATGGCCTAAAGCACCACAAATGCACTTAAACAAAAATGTAAAAATAAACAATTAATAAATAGATATAAAAAAAAATATTTTTGTTATTTAAGTATTTTATTAAAAATTAAGTATTTTTGCATTGCATAAAGTAGATGTGCACTTTGAATATTACATCTGGCAAAGAAGTACTACAGTACGTTGACCTACTTCAACCTCACATTAAACAGTGAGCATTGCAAGCCAGTAATAGCTAAATAAATATCACACCTTGCCCTAGATACTCCAAGATGAGGGGACTATCGCATTCTGTTGCTTTGTGGCTAATGAACCATGCAAACCACTGCCCTCTGAAAGTGACAAGGCTGGTCAGTAACATAAGTGACCTCAACAGGGGGTTGCATGGCTCAAATTCACCCCCAGTAACCCTGACCATGCAACAGACAAATCAAACGGCATGCTTTCGGTTAACAGAGTTTTCTTTTAACCATTAGGGAGTTTCCTCCACAGCAGGCACAAAATGGGTGGATACAAAGGCAGGGTCAATGAAACAAGCAAAGTTTTGTGTGCGCTGTAGGTAGACTGTGATTCATAATCTTTGGACTGCATGGGTGGAGTGAATCCTGCACTTCTAGATACAGTAGATCTAGCTTGCGTCGTAATGCAATGGACCAGTATGAAATTCAGCTTCTCTTAACTGTATAAAAGTGTGATTGAGAAGTA